TTACGACACATGGATTCAATGAACTCCCAAAGCATTACCAAGCCACCATTCTTCAATGGGGATAACTATGGCTATTGGAAAATGCGAATGGAGAATTTCATTCAATCTATTGACTATGATTTATGGATAGTCACTACTCATGGTCCGTTTGTTCCTATGACAACTGTAGGTGAACACCAAGTTCCTACTCCAATGGACAAACTCACCACCGAAGACAAGAAAAAACTCTCCTTGAATGCCAAAGCACTAAACGTGTTGTTTTGTGCCTTGGGTCAAGATGAGTTCGCTAGGGTGAGTTCCTGCAAATCCGCAAAGGAAGCATGGAAGCTCTTAGAAGCCTCCCACGAAGGAGATAAAGACACAAAAGCTACCAAGATAGCTTTAGGAACATCCGAGTATGAAAACTTCAAGATGAAGGCCGGAGAATCCGTTCAAGATATGAACAAACGATTCAACCTCATTGTCAACAATTTGAGTACGCTAAATAAAGTTTATCCTACTAGTGAGATTAACACCAAGATTATATTCTCTCTTCCTAGAGAGTGGCATAGTCTTGTTGTAAATTTGTTGCCCAAATGTGCGGATGTTGAAACCTCCACCATTTGGAGCAGCCTATACTCTCACGAACTTCTATTGAAGAAAATGAAGGAAGAAGAACAGGTTCCTATCATCAAGAAGACCATGGCACTAAAAATTGATGACTATCTGGAAAGCGAAGGAGAAAGTGATGAGGAGCTTGCCATGTTCAAAAGATACAAGATGTTTATGAAATGGAACAAGGGCGAATCCTCAAAAAGATTTCCATCAAAGAAAGGTAAACCTAATCAAATAACTTGCTATGAATGTGGAAATGTAGGTCATATCAAACCAGAGTGCCCAAAGCTCAAAAAGAAGGAAGAACTTAAAAAGGGGAAGAAGAAGGCATTAAAAGTCACTGGGGACGATTTAAACTCCGACGAAAGTGATAGTAACCAAAGCCAAGAAGAGAACGCAAATGCTTGCTTCATGGCCTCCAATGATGAAGAAGAGGTTAGTTCTCAAAACTCATTTACCTCTTTTGAAAGTCAAATTACTTTTGATGAGTTAAGGCAAGCGTCTGATGAATGCCAAGAGGACCTTTTTCGAACTATTAGGGAGAAAAAGGAACTCAAAGTGGCTCTTGAAACCTCTCGAGATGAAAACAAAAATTTAAAAATTAATCTTGAGAAACTTCAAAATCAAAATGAAGAACTTCAAAAGAAAATTGAAATTTTGATTAAAGAAAAAGACAAGGCCAAACGAGGGGCTTTGGAAATGTT